GTTACCCTCAAGAAATTGTTCATTTACTTTGTGCAATATTTATGGCGATTTAAGCTTGTGAGCGCATGAGGTAGGTGTTAAGCAACAACCATTCATGCAGTTGATCTGATTACTTCAAGTCTGGTGCGAAAACACATGATCTCACCGGCAAACCTAGCGCGCTTCAACCTGAGTCTATATGTGTGTATGGATGTAGAAGTACGTGTGTGTATGTACATTAAATGATCGTGTTTTTAGCGTTGTGAGAAAAATTTGGAAAATTTATATATCTGCAAGCCGGCAAAAGTGCCGACATTCATGCAGCCGTGTAATTACGACTATGAGTGCGCAAGTGGTGAAACATGCTCCTCCAGCAATCGTGGAGCAAATCTGTTTCAACAGGTAGCAGCAATATATGCGTTTCTTGGTTCTTCTTCGCATCCTGGGATGTGCACGAAAAATGGGCAGAAATCTCAGTCAAGTATTTTTGCGAGTTGCCTAGTGCTGACAGCGACAAAGAACGTTCGGCTCCGTAACTGACAACTGATGGGCACTGGTCTGCAGATTAAGAAAAAGAAGGCTCTTTGATCCATAGTTTTGGCTGCACTCATTGAAGGATAAACGGCGGCGTCATGAACGGAGCCCGTTTTTATGGATAAGTGAAGTATGGAACTGGAAGGGCATCGAACTACTCGTTTTCATTATCTCCAAATTTTCCGAATTGCAACGCCATATTCTTTAGCTGCCGGACTTCACATTCCGTACAACAGCTGAAGCACTTATTTCTGCACAAATGCTTTTAGCTTACCACTTCGTACAGACTAACGCAGCTATCATATACAGCACCCACTTTTGTTTCTAAAAATTTTCTTGGCTTTTTGTGGGATTTGCGAGACAATAGGTTAAATTTGACTGATGACTTGCGCTGTCCGAATTCTGGAAAGTAAAGTGTACTTTAAGCCCAACATTTCAATGAAGTTTTAAAAAGGGCTAAAGTCAAAGAAAAACTGCAGGACATTCGACGTTGTCTTCTGAACGGCGACTCCGCAAGCTGCAGGGTCGACTTC